GGTCAATGCCAAGGGCCAGCCCTGGAACTGGACTCGGCTGTGGGAGATCAGGAGGGAGCGTTTCTGGGAATGATCGCACTCCGTCCTACCTGCCCCGCTCATGTGCTCTTCTGTCCTCTACTCCCAAGGGTGAAGCAGTCAGAGCTGTTCGACAGGTGGAAGAGCCTCCAGATGTGCAAATGGGCGATGAACATCTCTGAGGCCAACCAGTTCAAGTATCTATGATTCGTCTGTCCTCCCTTCTCCTTGTATAGTTCTCCTCACTGCCACCTCTTCCAGTCTCCGTCGTCCTGCAAGGCCCAGCTCTCAGTGGGCATCTTCCCTAGAGCAGGCCCTGACTGGGCTGAGGAATCCGAGCAGTGTGGGGGACTGATTCAACATGCAGGCTGAGGCGGGCACCTTGCCCAGGTGCCGTCTTCCACCTTCTCTCCCTCAGTCCTTGCAGCAGCCTTGCGAGGTTGGTGGTGCCATCTCCAGTACACAGCTGAGGTTCACTGAGGCTATTAGCAGGGAAGCATGTGCCAGTGGTCTCTGGCAGGCCTGTGTGAAGGCGCATTACGCATTCTCTATGGCCTCCTAGTCCTCACCTCCCCTGTCCTGGGGCAGCCACTCTGACCCAGTGACTTCTCTCCTTCTCAGAGCGCTTGAGTTCTTCCAGCCTCCACGAGACATTTGAGCCCTGCTGCAGATTATTTTATAAATGCTGTCTAACCAAAATGAGCAGATTATAAACTCCCAGAGAGGTAAGAGCTGGATCTTAAAGTTCTCCTGTGGGAACTCAGCACCTAATAGATGTCCAAAAATTCTTTTTGATGGATAGTAAACTTTAGGGTCTTCTCCATCTCTAAAACTCTGTGAGCTTATGGGATTATTTTAGTGCAGGTAGACCTTATTTTATGGAGTTGATGTGATGTGGCAATTTGTGTCTATGCTGGATTTCAGCACTCAGGTCCAAGTTTAAATGTACTGAGGAGCTCTAAGCATGAAGGAGTCCTGCACGAGAGATTGTGAAAAGCAAAGATGACTAAGCTTTTTCTTTATAAATCGTTTGTTCCAATTTGCTGCAGCTCCAGACGAAATCTAGAGGTAGAGTAGTAGTTTTAAGGGCACATTTTCAGAAATGTGAATGTTTAAAGTGATAACACTTGAAGATCCGGTGCCAGAGGCCTCTGAGAGACTACAAAGACCCAGCAAAGGCCTGACAGTAGTTTGCAGAGACTCACCTATCATAAAAAACAGAACATGAGCTTGAGCAAAGTGCTGGGAGAGTAGAGAATAGATCCATAATCTGTGCTGCCAATTGGCCCCTTAGAAACGTTACCGTGCACACTGCACAGAGGTGCCCCTGGGGGCGAGTGAGACCTGGCACACTGAGAGTATGGCTGATAAAACACTCAGTCTGGACCAGGTCAGTGAGAAGCAAAAGCCTGTTGTCCAGGCTTAGGACAGAAGAGAAGTCTCAGCAATGGACCAGGCGTGGTAGCTCACGCCTATAAGCCCAGCACTTTGGGAGACCGAGGTGGGCGGATCACGAGGTCAGGAGTTCGAGATCAGCCTGGCCAACATGGTGAAACCCTGTCTGTACTAAAAATACAAAGAAATTAGCCAGGCGTG